GATACCTGTATTATCAGACAATATAGTCTTTAAATAAATAAAGGTTATTATGCGAAGTGAAATAAGTCAATCAGAGAAAGACAATTATCCTGTGAGTTCACTCATGTGGAATTGAAGAAACAAAACAGAGGATCATAGGGGGAGGGAGGGAAAAATAAAATAAGATGAAATCAGAGATGGAGACAAACCGTAAAAGACTCTGAACTACAGGAAACAAACTGAGGGTTGCTGGAGGGGAGGTGGGTGGGCTGATGGGGTAACTGAGTGATGGGCATTAAGGAAGGCACAAGATGTAATGAGCACTGGGTGTTATATGCAAATGATGAATAACCGAACTCTACCTCTGAAACTAATGATACACTATATGTTAATTAATTGAATTTAAATAAAATTTTTAAAAGGTTATTAAAAATTATATGTTAATAAAAGGCTCAATACAGCAAGCTATAACAACTATAAATAATTACACATATAATAAGATCAAAATAAGAAGCAAAAATAGGCAGAATCAAGGGAGAAACAGATATTTCTATAATAACAAGGAGATTTCAATCTCACTATCAATAATGATTGTACAACCAGACAGAAGATAAGGAAACAGAAGACTTGTGCAACGAAATAAAAAAACTAGATCTAACAAACATTTATAGAACACTGTACTAAACAACAGAATACACATTTGTGTCAAGTGCACATGGGGCATTCTTCAGGAGAGACCAAACATTAGGGCATAAATTAAGTCTCAATAGATTGCAAAAGAAAGGTATTATACAAAATCTCTTCTATGACCATAGCAGGATGAAGTTAAAAATCAGTAACAGAAGGAAAACTGGAAAATTCAAATTTGTGGAAATTATAAACAACACTCTTAAACAAACAATAGACCAAGTTAGAAATTACAAGGGAAATGAGAAAATACTTAGAGACAATGAAAAGGAAAAGACAATATATCAAAATTACTGGATTCAATAAAAACAGTGTTGGGGGTGAAATGCATAGCTAAATAATATAAAAACATTGGAAAAATATGCCAAAGAGCAGGCTAAGCCACACTTACTTTAAAACATTACATTTTCTTCCACAAAAATATAGAATAATATGAAAACAAATTACTAGTGTGTTTGATTGTTAGAAGCATCATTCAAGCACTCCTTTCTTTGGTAAACCTCTGTTAAGCAGGGTGCTGTGCCCAGGCTTAACAAAGTGTACACTTAAATGTGGTCCAGAGCTAAAGTCATACCAAATGTTATCTGTAGCTGCTTTGCCCTCCTTCAGGTGCAGAGGCCACTCTTGCTCTCAAAGACCACACAGAAAAGAAGGCAAATGTGTGGGAAGTGTTGCTCAGCATTCTCAGTGGTGCAACAAGCCAACCATTACAGCTGTTATGATCCCCAGGACCCTGAAAGTGCCCAGCACTATAGCAGGCATCAAGAGCAGGCATCAATCTCTGCTGGTGTCACATGGTTACCAACCCAGACTTTCCCCTTCCATGAAATCAGGCAGTACCAGAAATCAGTCATATGGATCCTCAACAGTCTTTTACAAACAGTCTGAGAAGTTGCTCAAACCTTGCAGCCTGACCTGTACTTCCAGAGTAGGTCCATTAGGGCTTTATAGGAAGCCCCCAAAGCCCACATGGTTGGCCTGTTTGAAGACACCAAGCTCTGTAGCTATCTATTCCAGAAGGCATAGTCTTGTCAGGTCCTACAGTTGCAGTGGGGCTTCTATGGGACAAGCACCTGGTCTGTGGGCCCATGATAAGAGGTTTATCCTCTTATGGGGATACAGATGTTGGATTTTGCTTTTCCCAAGGATGTTACTAAAACAAATAATGCAAATGAAAAAATTAAGGACTGAAACACTGGCCCTCATAATATTTGGATATAAGGCATTTATGCAAGGAATAAGGTTTAGCAATTAAAACTGATGTCAACTTAATGATTTCTGTTGCAGACTTATGTTCAGTGGACACCACCCTTTCGCTATAATCTTGTATGCTGTTTTCCTAGATCTTGTGAATACTGTCTTCTGCTCTGTTCCAATAATTTTGACATAAAATAAATTATGCTATCAAGCAAAAGACTGCTTTTGGGCTCATCATGCCATTTGATTTCACCTCCTCTGGCTCCTAAAACATTTACAGGTAGGGTCATGCCCACACCACTGATGAGAATAAGTTTTTCTTAGGAATATGGAAGGGCCTCTGAAAATTGAGCTCAATGTCTCAAGTCCTTGTTAAAATTTTCCTTCAACCCAGAAGATGAGTTCTCAAACTGTGGCCCAAGTCATGCCCCCATGAACTCCATACACTGGCAGGGGATCTTCTACTACTTGAAATCGTGTTTTTTTCAGGTCCTGACACACCTGTGATGAAGAATGTGAAACCTCATGGCTTTTGCCCATGATTAGAGACAAGTCAGGGGCAGATCTCTGAGTCCTTTTTTTTTTTATGGCAGTCACCATGTGATTCCATTATGCAAAAGAACTCAAGATGTAGTTCCTGTGTTAAAAGGCATTATTGGTCACACATGAAATCACTTTCAATACAACAGGGAAACAACTTAGGGCAGTGGTGGTATCATATGCTGAAAGCATTTAGAATGTGTGTATGTGTGTGTGTTTGTGTTATTAGTACTATCCTCAAGTGTGGCTTCTTTCTAGAATGTTTATACATCTTGTGTATATGCCTGCTACCCTGGACTGTAGCAGAGAACCCAAGTGACAATACTTCTTAGTTCTGGCTTCTAAAAACTTCTATCAGAGAGAATCTTAGGGGAAAAGGGGGAGATGTAGACTCATTGGCGGTAGGGGCTTTTTATGTCTTTGTTCAAAAACAATTTCCTGGGAACTAGACACTTAATGTTTTGGGCTTAGTCATGTCAGCAAGTTAGCGGAGCCCAAGGTTTCAAGCACTTTAGGGATGGTGTCATCAGATAGAGTTAGAAAAATTGATGCCACCATAATGTGAGGAACTCCCATCCAATCAAGGTTAAGTCTCCTTTAGGTCTAATTTATCCTTTTGTTTTACTATGAACTATAATCTTGCTTTAAGCTTTTTTAAAGAACACATTCACTTTGATTTTTAGCATTAGTAAAATAATGATGAGAGTTATTATTTATTGCCCATTTACTCTGTGCCAGGTTTGGTTTTAAGTGATTGACATAGATTAATTCAGAAAATGCTCCCAAAATGGATTGTAGGTAATTACTATCATTATGCACCTTTCACAAATGAGGAAACTGAGGAACATAAAGAACTGACTTGCCCCAGGTCAAAGCCAAACAGGAGGGGGAAGGGAATAAATACCCAAGTAGTAAAGTCAATAAGCCCCTTGGCACATGCTGGGTCTCATAATATACATAATAAAGTTCACTTTTATGATTTTTAAAATCAACTGTACTAACACATAATTTATGTAAAATAAAGTGTATGCATTTTTTGTACATTTTGATGAGTGGCACTTATTCAGCTTTGTAAACACTATCATAACCTAAATATAGAACATTCCATCACACTAAAACATTCCTTTGTTCCTCTATCCAGTGAATCCCAAACCCCACTCCTAGGCAACCAATGATGTGCTTCCTATCCCTCTATATTAGATGTCTTTTCTAGAATTTCATAGAAATGGGATCATACAGGTTCTTGTGCTTGGCTTCTTTTCCCAGACTAACCTTATTGAGATTTATCAATGTTGATACATCCATTAGTAGCACTTTCTATGCTGAGTGTTATTCCATTGTAAGGTAATATCACTATTTACACAATTTATCTGTTGATGGACATTTTGGCTCTAATTTGGCGCTACTGTGAATAAAAACTCCTTGAACATCTTAATAAAATTCTTTAAAAAAACTTAAAAAAATTTTTTGGTACAGTTTATGTTTCTTTGGGGGCAAATATCTAGAACTAAAATTGTTGTTTGTAGGTATGATACCGTTAACTTTAATAAGGAACTATCAAAGGGATTTGTAATACTATCACATTACAATTTTATTTTGCATTCCTTGATGACTAAAGCTTTGGACATCTTTTCTAGTATTTATTGGCTATCTATATATCCTCTTTTCTGAAATGCCTGTTTTAATCTTCTGTTTTGCCCATTTTAACTAGGTTGTTTGTATTATTATTGCATTATAATTTTTAAATCTGTATTAGTCTCAGAGGAAGAACTTAGTGATTCATCAGTTGCATACAATACCCAGTGCACAGTACTTCAAGTACCCTCCTTAATGCCCATCATCCAGTTGCCCCATCCCCCCACCCACTTCCCTTCCAGCAACTCTGTTTGTTCCCTATATAGGGTTAAGAGTCCTTTACAGTTTGCCTCCCTCTTTGTTTTATTTTATTTTACCTTACCTTCTGCTATGTTCATCTTTTTCATTTCTTAAATTCCACATGCGTGAAATCATACAGTATTTGTCTTTCTCTGACTGATTTATTTAGCTTAGTATAATATCCTCTGGTTCCATCCACATTGCTGCAAATGGCAAGGTTTCATTCTTTTTGATGGCTGAGTAATATTCCATTGGATACATATGTGTATGTGTGTCTGTGTGTGAATACCACATCTTTATCCATTCATCTGTTGATAGACATCTAGGCTCTTTCCATATTTTGGCATATGTTTTAAATGTATTGGTGACCCTGAGATAATATAAAAGTACACACAAAACATTGTTTGGCTTCTTTGAAAAGAAACTGTTTAGTAACAATAGTCTTTCCTATATGCACATGTCAGAAAGAAAGAAGGAGAAATGAAATGTAGTATGGGATTCTGACTTTTCAGCTATTTCCTGTAAAAGGTTTGTTATTAATCTACATGTGGTAAAATGTAGCTGATGTCAGAACAGTTACTGAGCAAGGGGTACATAATTCTATTATAATGATGTTAAGTTCCAGTACACATATAAATACCTGGTAAGTGGCAGGCATGTATACAAACTCACATAGATAAAAAATAGAGAACTCAGAAAATATTCACATACATTCCATGCTGTTCAGTTTATCCAATTTATTTCTTATTCTTCTAAAGCATCTTATCCTAGTGAATGTCTAGGTTATCAATATTATGTTTGTTTTCATAATGAATATGAAACAATAGTCTTATGGAACAATTTCTAAGCAGACGCTATTACTTACCTTTCTCAAATTGATAGATTCTCCCCCTGTAACACATTCTGAGAAAGATTAAAGTTTGATAACTTGCTGAAAACTTTCATACATTTACAATTCAATTATCAGATATTTAATGAAATATTATTTTTTTGGTAAAATATTTCCTAGGTATGTTGAAATGTTGAATTTCTTCCACTGATATTTACCTGACCGATGAGGAGTTGTTGTGGATAAAAACTATGGTCATTCAGGATATTGTCAGGGGTTTCTCCTGTGTCAGGTTTCTGATATATGCTGAGTTCAGATATCCACAGAAATCATATTCATAGGCTTTATTAGTTGAGGGTTGGTGAGTATATATTAGTATAAAGTATACCCAAGCCTGTAGAAACTCAGTAGAGAACAAGTTTATTTCCTCGCTGCAAAAAGGTGGTGTACATGGAGGAGAAAACTCCATTCCAGTCACTCTTTACCCTGTTTCCTTGCATCTTGTATTCTCCCATCTTCAGTGCATGAGCCCCATGGTTTCACTGGTAGTAATCTCCACTCCATTCTGATAAGGGACAGGAGAAAAACTGAGAATTTGAGGAATGTATTAAATGAGACTGGTCATTGACACCCACATCCACATCCTACTAGCCAGAGGTTATTAATATGACCCCATTCGGATGATACTGGTTGAGAAATTTGGACTAGGTGTGGCATGAGGGAAAAGAGTAAATGGTTATTGGTGAACAATTAATAGTCATTATATGGCATATGGGGATTACTTCTGTGTAAGTCAAATTGAGGGCTGATTTGTAATAGAAGAATTCCCCACATCCATTATTTCATTTTTTTGTCTGTGTTGAAATACTGTGAGTTCTTTAACCTTTATGTATTTTCTGTTGTACTGAGAAAGCTGGCTTTTGGCTAAAGGTTATCAAACACTTATTACATTCTCAGTTTTCTCATTGTATCATTTCTCTGATGATGAGTAAATTTTGATAACTGACACAAAGTTTTCACATTTTTATTACATTCCCAGACCTTTTCTGCAGTGTGAGTTTTCTGAGGATTGAGTACAGAGTACTTCTCACATTATCTTTGTAATTTCTTTGCTGGGTGAGTTCTCTGATCCATGATGAGGACTACACTCTGGATGCAAGACTGCCCATATAAAATATATTCCAAGAATTTCTCTCCTGTGTAAGTTCTCTGATGTTTGTGAAGGTATGTATCTTGCAAAGGAACTTGCACTTGTTTATTCTATCCATAGGGTTCTCTTTCTCTTTTATATGGTGAGATTTGATTTCTGGCTCAAAGTTTTTCCATATTCTTTACATTCATATACTTAACTCCCTGTGTGAGCTTTCTGATGTTCTCTAAGGCTTGATTTCTGGCTGAAAGTTTTCCCACATTTATCACATTTATAGGGTTTCTCCCCTGTGTGAGTTCTCTGATGTACTCTGAGGTTTGACTTCTGGCTGAAAGCTTCTCCACAGTGATTACAATTATAGGGCTTCTCTCCTGTGTGAGTTCTCTGATGTTTTCTTAAGACTGACTTTTCACTGAAAGCTTTTCCACATTCATTACATTCATAGGGTTTCTCCCCTGTGTGAGTTCTCTGATGTCCTCTGAGATTTGATTTCTGCCTGAAAGTTTTTCCACACTCATCACATTTATAGGGCTTCTCCCCAGTGTGGGTTCTGTGATGCACTCTGAGGTTTGATTTCTGGCTAAAAGCTTCCCCACAATGATTACATTTATAGGGTTTCTCCCCTGTGTGAATTCTATGATGTCCTCTAAGTTGTGATTTCTGACCAAAAGCTTTCCCACATTGATTGCATTTATAGGGCTTCTCCCCTGTGTGAGTTCTATGATGTTTTCTTAGACCCGACTTCAGTTTGAAAGCTTTCCCACATTCATCACATTTATATGGTCTTTCCCCTGTGTGAGTCCTCCGATGATTTCTTAGGCCTGACATGTGGCTGAAAGATTTTCCACATTCATTACATTCAAAGGGTTTCTCCCCTGTGTGAGTTCTCTGATGTACTATGAGGATTGACTTATAGTTGAAAGATTTCCCACATTCATTACATTCATAGGGTTTCTCCCCTGTGTGAGTTCTCTGATGTATTCTTAGACCTGACTTTGCACTGAAAGCCTTCTCACAACCATCACATTTATAGGGTTTCTCTCCTGTGTGAGTTCTCTGATGTTTTCTTAGGCGTGACTTCTCACTGAAAGCTTTCCCACATGCATGACATTTGTAGGTTTTCTCCCCTGTGTGACTTTCCAGAGGCTGAATCAGGAATGAATTCATAGTACAGGATTTTCCACATTCATTACATTCATAGGGTTTCACTGTTATGTGAGTTCTCTGATGTATGTTGAAAGCTGACTGGCAACCTAATGTCTCTGTACATGTGTCATAGTCAGAGGATTTGTCTGTTGTGTGAGTTCTCTGATGCACTGGGAGGGCTGGATTATGGCTGAAATTCTTTCCATATTCAAAGGGTTTCACTCCTACATGAATTTTCTGATGTTCTCTAATGTGTGATTTTTGGCTGAAAGGTTTCCCTTCTGTGTCAGTTCTTTGAGTGATCCTACTGAAATTATTTCTGTTTTCAGTACATTGATATTCATTAAATTCATAATGACTCTTCTCCTCTGGATTACTGCTATGAGAGACTATAAGAGTTGATTTATCACATTGTTTTCCCCCAAATTTACTGAATTTATAAGATTTCACTTTTGGGTGGGTACTCCCAGATGTAATGAGGGCAGTCTTTTGAAGGAAAGCTTTTCCACATTCATTGTACTCAGAAGCTTGCTGCAAAGTCTGAATTGCCTGATGCTGAATGACTTTCTCTTTATGACTGAATGATTTCACATTTTTACTATAGACAAATGATTTCTCTCCAGTATTAGTTCTGCCCTCCTTAATACTGAGGAGCCATTTCTCACATACAGTAAGCTCATGAGCCTTCTTTCTTGAATACTGACAGTGTGGAGTCAATGAGCTGAGACGCAGGTAAGTAGGCTCTGTAGTGTCAAATTTATAGGGCATTGTTCTTGCAGGTAAAATGTTTATGTCCAGATTACATGGTTTTTCTGAAATCTCTTCTGCTGTAGTCAATGATTTGTTGGTGAATAAAACTTGCCACAAATATTTGCCTTGGTTTTCTAGGCTCTTCTCTGAGAGTTGATTAGGTTGGGAGTCTTCTAGAAATGAGAAAATTAAAAATACTTTAAGATATTTAACACACTTCTTATGGAATGGGACTTATAGATATATGCCCTATTATGTATTTGATGCCTCAGTTTCCCAACAATAAAGTAATTCCAAGGATATAGTCTCTTTTTGTTAAAAAAAAAAAAAAAAAAAAGCTTTTTGTAGTAGCAAGAGAAGAAACTAGAAAAAAATATACATACATATTTGGCATCTTAAAATATAGTTTTCAGAATTGGTTAAAGAAGAAGATATAAAGGAAAGGAACAATTGAGAATGGAGAATATATTCAAGAGAGTTAGATCTTGGGAACAGAAAAGACAGGAAAAAAGTAGTGAATGGGATGAATTCAACAAAGATTATGGAACTAAGTAGATTAAAAGGCTTCCAATGGATTTATTGGAGATAGAATTTGCATTAGGGAAAAATACAAGTCTAGATTCTTAGTCAAATATAGATTAAAATGGTAGCATAATCATTAGACTATATGATTACAGTTGGAGCTCCATTTTTTCCAGTCTACACAAAACACTAAAACTAATTTATAATGGTACCAACTAACTCATGGTGAAAGAAAAAAAGTTTGCCATGCTTTAATTCTCTCTGTGGTATCATTCACAGAAACATAAGTGTATCAGTATAAGTAAAAAAAAAAAAAAATGATGGGCGTTAAAGTAATTTTTCCACCTATATTGGAGTCACTGCTCTATCCTGGTTCTGGTACCTTGTTATTATTGTCCAATAGTGAATATCTCTTGGTCATCAAACCTTAACTTTTCTCTTTTCAACTTGCTCATAATTTTCCCCAAACTAGTCTTGCTTGCCCAATCTTTGATTCTGTTTTTCAACATATCTAGTTTTTTTTTTTTTTTTGACTGTGAGAACCTTAAGGATCATGTTTCAAACTGGCCCTAAAAACTACAAATATCCTTTATATTTATTCACCATAAGTTTCTTATGCATAGGGGTGCCTGGGTGGCTCAGTCATTAAGTGTCTGCCTTCGGCTCAGGTCATGATCTCAGGATCCTGGGATCGAGCCCCGCATCAGACTCCCTGCTCAGTGGGAAGCCTGCTTCTCCCTCTCCCACTTCCCCTGCTTGTGTTCCCTCTCTTGCTGTGTCTCTCTGTGTCAAATAAATAAATAAAATCTTAAAAAAAAAGAAAGAAAGCTTTAAAAAAAAAAGTTTCTTATGCATATTTGACTGTTATTGCCCTGCTACTACCCACACTCCTAGCAAAAACGTCAGGCCTATGCTAAAAATATTTGAAAGCCTTGAATACACTGCCCTAGGTGCCAAGAGATGAAAGATTTAAGTGATTCAGGGCAAATTTCACACTAACATGTTCATTTTGTGTTCTAGCTACCATTCCACCAGTCCAAAGCATTTTCTGCTCTAATCTTGCTATCAGTCCCCATTAAATGGTTCTTTTCCAGCAGTAACTTTATACTCACACTCTTTCCCTAAATTGCCCTCCATTCTAGTCTTAGGACTATATAAAATCTAGATGCCCTTCAGGTACAGCAAAGCTATCTTCATTAAACTTAACAACAGAAAGGCTTCTAATATCTTCTCACAAATTTAAGCAACATTTATTTTAAAATCTGAAAGAAGTATCATTCTGCCTGTATCATTCATTTCAACAAGGGATATATAGAGAGTGCCCATATTTGTGACTCATGATTTTTAAAGTAAATATCATAACCCAAATCAGGAGGCATCTTAAAATTGATGGCAAGCCAGTAGTTAAATGGGCAGCATTTTCTCTTTCTTGGTTGTACTTAAAATACTGGTTCATCTTTTAATCAACAGTACCTATATTATATGAAATATATTTTATGCAGATTTGCTCACTTTTCCAAAATGAAACCTTCACTGTGATATTCTTTGCATCCTTCCGTAATACGTCAGTGGTCCATAAAAAGCAGTGTGCTTCAGAATTACCTAGAGAGCTCTGCACACACAAGGGCTCAGATCAATTGCTGATCTACACCTGAGGATTCAAAAATCCTAAAAATTTGACTTGGGCATTAATTTATGAATAGTGTCTTCTGAATTAATCAATATGAAATAATTATCTCCATCTCATTTTGGAATCAACCCACAGTGTTATTAAAAATATTTACCATATAATACATACCAAAGTAGAAGAATGAAACAGACCATTCTTTTGGGGGGAATGATAATCCAGGTGAGAAAAGGAGCTCATCTCATTCAATAACCGTATCTAGCACAATAACTGTATCTGGCACAGATATTTTACTATCTTTTGACACATCCATCAAATGATTTAAGAGTTTACAGAAGAGATAAAATAGGCTAAAATATTCCAAGATTATATTACAGAAGTAGGAACCTGTCCCCAAACTTATAATGAATAATAGTGCTTTCTTTCCTTTTTCTGGCTGAGGTTAGCTATTTTTTTTTTAAATTAATTAATTTATTTGAGAGAGCGAGAATGAGAGAGAGAGAGAGTACATGAGAGGGGGGAGGGTTAGAGGGAGAAGCAGGCTCCTCGCTGAGCAGGGAGCCCGATGTGGGACTTGATCCAGGGACTCCAGGATCGCGACCTGAGCCGAAGGCAGTCGCTTAACCAACTGAGCCACCCAGGCGCCCCAGAGGTTAGCTATTTTATTTACTTTTATTTCAAGGACTACCTTTTGCCTTATAATTTATACTATTATAGTTTTTATTATATCTTTTATTTTTTATTATTATATGTATATAATAATATAAGTATTATTTATTTTTATTACATCTTCCTTGCTTGTTTTTAAAAAAAGTACACTTGATCCGTGTTTTTCAAAGGTCAACTGGTCAAGGGGTGCTGACCACCCCCCATGCAGTTGGAAATCTGTGTATAACTTCTGACTCCCCAAAAACTTAACCACTAATAGCCTACTGTTGACCAGAAACCTTACAATAAGATAAACAGTTGATTAACACATATTTTGTAATTTACATGTATACTGTATTTTTACAATAAAATAAGCTAGAGAAAAGAAAATGTTATTAAGAAAATAAAATACATCTACAGTAGTTTATTGTATTTATTGAAAAAAATCCGTGTATAAGTAGATCTGTTCAGTTCAAACCTGTGCTGTTCAAGGGTCAACTGTATATGAGATTAAAAATTCTGCACTGCTTTATCTACAGTCCAAAGGTTCTAATAGACATGCTTTTCAATAAGAACTTTTTCTGGATATTGTATAATTTTGATTTACCTTTTAATAAAATAGGTTGTTGAAAGATATATATTCATCATTGATTTTAAGAGAGGGATTTTAACTTTTCTCATATTGTTTGCAATTTACAGTGTTATTGAAAAATAGTATCTCTACTTTGTGGAATTTATTGTTATCCAAAATACTTCTACATTTTCTCAGTGTTCCAAGGACATTTAAAAGGAGGTTTGTTCTTTGTTTTCAGAATAGAGTTTTGAAAGACACTTAATAGATTCATTTTATATTTATAATGTCTAGACCAGAGGTTGGGAAACTCTCTGTAAAAGGCCAGAGAGTAAATGTTTTGGGCTTTGCTGGTCATGCAGTCTCTGTTGCAATTATAGTTGACCCTTGAACAATGTGGGGATTAGGGGTGCCAACCCCCAACGCAATTGAAAATATGCATGATAATTTTTGAATCACCAAAAACTTAACTATTAATAGCCTGCTGTTGAATGGAAACTACCAATAACATAAAGTTGATGAACACATTTTGTGTATTACATGTATTATGTATTCTTATGATAAAGTTAGCTACAGAAAAGAAAATCATAAGAAAGAGAAAATACATTTACAGTACTGTACTGTATTTATTTGAAAAAAATCCACATAGAAGAGAACCTGAGCAGTTAAAGCCTATGTTGTTTGCATAGTTCAAACCAATGTTACTCAACTCTGCCCTGTAGTGTGAATACATAAACAAATGGACATGGCTGTGTGTTCCAATAAATGTTTCTTTACCAAAAAAAGCAGCAGGCAGGATTTGACCTGGGGCTAGTTTTCTGAGCCTTATTCTAGACTCCACTGAGTCTGGTATGAAATCAGAGGGGCATATTAAGGTCTACTATATCTAATGTATACCTACTTCTCCTTATATCTCTTGCCAGTTTTTGTTTTATGATAATTTTGTTGTGATAGTTTTGTTGATAATTTATTTGGTACACTAATATTCAAAACTTTTATATGTCCTTTAAAAACTTTTTTAGCTTTATCAAAATGTCCTTTTTTTAAAAATCTGTTTTTGACATGAACTGATTCTTAGTATTAGTTAGGTAATTAAATTTGAGTTTTAAAATGCTTTTGGCTTAACAATTCATGACCATATTTCAAACTTTATACATTACTTTTTAGGCATATCTCTTTGATACAATCTGATAGCATGTTTTCTTAATAGGTGAATTTAATTCATTTACATTAGTTGATATGGCAGGTATGCTTACCTTACCGTATATTATGTGGTGTGTTTGCATAGCTTTCGTGCAACATGTTTAACACAGCAGGCCTGAGACTGTTACCCTTAGATGGCTGACTTGCAAGATTAGCCCGTGGCTGGCATCTGTGAACTTAGATTTTGAGATGGTTCCCAAGAACCTAGTCTCTAATGAACTTTCCAGGTAGACAAAATTCACTGCTGGGGGTCTTAGAAGCTCACACCTGGTTTCCTCTGGACTTTGCCCCTTTTCTCTTTGCTGATTTTGCTTTGTACCAATCATTTCACGTTACAAATCTTAGCTATGAGTATGACTATATGCTGAGTAACAAAGAATCAATGAATGTGGTATGTGGTAGTTGTCCTGGGGACTCACTCTTTTTTTTTTTTATTTGAAGTATACTTGACACATAATATTATTGGGGACTCTACACAACTTTCTAAGAAACTTTACTAGTAACAGGTCTGTTATCTTTGCTCTATCACACATATTTAACTTCTAATAATTAGGAAGGCTGCAGTTTGCTCCAGTAGTTATCCTTTCTAATTATGTTATGTAATTGCTTAATCATCTATACATTTAGATGACATCTAGTAACTCATTATTATATAATGAAAAATTATGGTTCCTTTCTCTTTTCTAATTTGCCTATTCTCAATTTTAGTAGCTTTATTAATTTTTCTTAGTTTTTATCTTTTTACTGTTAAGAATATGGAATTCATTATTTAACTTTTCAGCTTCAAACGGAATACTTAGTTCCCATCTTTGCAGCAATGTCCGCAATAGCCAAACTGTGGAAAGAGCCGAGATGCCCTTCAACAGATGAATGGATAAAGAAGATGTGGTCCATATATACAATGGAATATTACTCAGCCATCAGAAAGGATGAATACCCAACTTTTACATCAACATGGATGGGACTGGAGGAGATTATGCTAAGTGAAAAAAGTCAATTATCATATGGTTTCACTTATTTGTGGATCATAAGGAATAGCATGGAGGACATTTGGAGAAGGAAGGGAAAAATGAAGGGGGGAAATCGGAGGGGGAGATTAACCACGAGAGACTACGGACTCTGAGAAACAAACTGAGGGTTTTAGAGGGGAGGAGGGGTGGGAGGATGGGTTAGCCTGGTGATGGGTATTAAGGAGGGCACGTACTGCATGGAGTAATGGGTGCTATACGAAAACAATGGATCGTGGATCACTACATCAAAAACCAATGATGTATTGTATGGTGACTAACATAACACAATAAAATAAAATTAAATTAAAAAAAAGATGAGAATATGCTCATGCTTACAACCTACTCCTTGTGTTAGCTGGCCCCTTTCACATTTTATTAGATTTATTATTTTTATAATTTAAAACATAAAAGCCTCTAAAAGGACAGTGCTGAAAAACATTTTAAACTGCTCACTTCCAGCTGATCGCTTTGTTTTTGTTTTTGTTTTTTTTTAGCTGATCGCTTTGGATCTAATTTTTTGGATGCCTTCTGTCAGTATTCAATAACTCACCTGGGGAGCTTTTTCTTAGAAATTCTTTCTTTAATAACCATGGATCTTCTCCTTGTTCCAGTGTGAAGATCAGTTCTGGTTTTGTAAAGCAGTACCCTGTAAATGGGAAATAATTTAGCACTTGAGTTAGCTGCATACGTTTCACTGTTTCTGAATATGAAGGAAGGTATAGTTTCAAAAATGGCACATTCAGGGTGCTCACTACAACTTTTCTGGGAGGAGAGTGATCACAAAAAATATTTTCTAATGCTTATAAAGGATCAATCTTATTAAACCCCCAAATCACAAGCCTAAGTAATATTAAATTCTAAAATGCTCAATGTCAGTGTTTTAAAGAAGAGATTTCAGAAGGACTTTCCAAACTGGCCATAATAGAGTAAAAGGAACTGATTTACTTCTTCATATCACACATCTAAAAAAGTGTACAAACTATATAAAATGGTTATTAGACTTTAGACACCAGGCAGTGCAGACAGGAATACCTGACAATAGGAAATCAAATGAGGTGAGTCCTATGACTATCACGTGTTGATACAAAATGAACATAAACTTTAAAAAATTTTAAAGAGAAAGGAAGAGTTTTATTTGAGCCCAAGTTAGGACAACTGCCAGGGATACACAATCTTCACAAGCAAGAGAGTGCTCCAGAGAAGGAACATTTCGTTCAGGGTTATATATGTTCTTGACACAAAGAGTTACAAATCATCAAGATGAAGGACATTCCAGAAAGTTACAGACTTTATCTTATGTTTTTATTATATGCAAGGCTGTACGACTTTAATCTTATGGGAACCAGGGAGAGTTTTTTTGGTTTTGTTTTTCTTATCTTTTGTTTGGAATGCTCCTTTTTTTTAATTGAAGCAGATGTACAATGTGTGCTCGGGGCAGAAACAGAGCTAATGCTTTGAGGTTTTGTCGAGTCATTTTAGTCTTAGTAAATGTTAAAGTATAGCTTCTCTGGGAGCCCAGGAGCAGGGCCCACAAACATTAAAAGCTGAAAATTTCCTTTATCACACAACTTACTGCCAAGAAGAGTTTAACTCACAGAACAAAAGAACCAAGAAAGCCTAGCTGACTCAGTAAGTTGAAGTAACATAACTGAATTTTTTTTAAAGATTTTATTTATTTATTTGACAGAGAGAGACACAGCGAAAGAGGGAACACAAGCAGAGGGAGTGGGAGAGGGAGAAGCAGGCTTCCCGCAGAGCAGGGAGCCCGATGCGGGGCTCGATCCCAGGACCCCGGGATCATGACCTGAGCCGAAGGCAGACGCTTAACGACTGAGCCACTCAGGCGCCCCTAACATAACTGAATTTTAAGGAAGCCATGACAACTAGAATTGTTAAGGATGAAATACTAGAGAAGAAAAAGCTGTACTGATATGGAGTCTTAGAGATTTGCAGAAGAGTCTCCTAAGTACTAACTTATGCAAGTATGTAAGAAAAATACTCAAGGAAGAGGAAAGACGAGTGAAAAAGAGTAGGCTGAAAAAATTATCAAAGCATACACAGATGTAGGAAGCTTCTGTTGCCACCAGACAGGGTAGAAAAATTTCGTACTTCATGGCCAACTGGGAAGAATACCAGAAGGATGTTTATTGTTTAATATAAGACTCAAATTAGTCCTAAAGCAAGCTCTGAATCTAACATAACACAGCTTAAAGCAATCCTTGAAATAATCAAATTAATTCCAAATAACTACATACCAGAAAAGGCCTCAAAAGATTTAAAATACAACAAAACTAGTAGCTAACAATATATTATCAGTATTATCAGTGCTCAATAAGATAAATGTACTTTTGATCCCCTTTATCAGTTTCATCCTTCCCCTCACCCACCTCCACTCTGGCAACCACTAGTTTGTTTTCTGCATTTAAGAGTTTGTTCTTTTTGTTTGCTCTCTTGTTTTTTGTCTGTTCATTTGTTTTGTTTCTTCAATTCCAATATGAGTGAAATCATATGGTAATTGTCTTTTTCTGATTGACTTATTTCACTTAACATTATACCCTCTAGGTCCATCCATGTAATTGCAAATGGCAAGATCTCACTCGATGAAG